CAACAGAAACTTGCTGTTGGTAACCCTGTGGTAAAGAAAGTGAGAAACACATAGATGTGAAGAAGGAAATAATACAGAAGTATGTGAGTGGTGTGAGAACTTGTTGAGCTTGCCAAGGATGTATGGGAAAAAACAAGTCAAACAATCGGTTCTATCATGTCAATGATAGAACAATTCAGGAAGCTGATATTGCGAAAACAAAAAGGTTGTTTATATAGGGACAGTGGATGAAAGGTGCCTTCTTCAAAGGTTATAGGTGATTTGTGCCAAGTGGAATGACTGTACCAAATGTTTGTGCAGAAAGTACACCCTGACAAAAAGCTTGAAACAAGACCATCTTTGCACAAGTTCAGTGACAGAACCATGTCTATTTTCAGGGAAATGTTAATGAGGGCACCTGACAACAAAGGACTGTGGAACAGTTATTTTGTGCGAGACGGGCTATACAGTGACTCTCAAGCTGGTCCTAGAGTGGGATTAAAAGACAGAGAAGGGAAGTATCCCCAGAGATTGCTTTACATGAATAGTAACATGGAGGGGGTTCTCCTTCCAAACTGACTAACCCAACTCCCCTCTCCTCCTCCCATATCTTCCAGATGCCATCACCAATCTTCAATAAAGGTTAAGTAAAAATGTTATTTCTTATGTATACTATTACATCATTAAAAAAACTAGAGTATTTGTTGTATGTAAAACTTGTCTTTAAATCTCCATAAAATGTATTTTTTTGAGTGATATTTTTGGGTTTCTGGGAATGGATTACTTGTGTATTTCATTATTTCTGATGGGAAAATATTGCTTGAATTTCGAAGACTTATCGAATTTAGAACTATGCTCCTGGAACGGATTAAGTTCGATTTTTGAGGTTCCACTGTATGTAATTATTGTAATGTTATTGTAATGCACTGGACAGGGAGGTATACCATCTTTAAGGACGTAAGACAGGATAGCGTGTGTGGGGGGAGGTTTGTGTGAGGCATTAGGTAGAATGAAAGAGGTATAACGCAGCTGGGAAACTGCGGGATCATGACAGAAATGTTAAATGCAAGGAGCGGATATAGGTTGGATGGGTTGGAATTTTTGTATGTGAAAAAAAAAAAAAGTATGAAAGAGGGGTAGGTACCTAGAGATTGTCAGAGAGACCATGTAATAGTCCCTTTATATAAAGGAAATGGGGACAACAAGAGCATTGTAAAAATTATAGAGGAATAAGTTTAATGAGTATACCAGGAAAAAGTGTACGGGTAGGGTTATAATTGAAGAATTAGAGGTAGGGTAGACAGAATATAGGAATGAGGATGAGCAAGGTGGTTTTAGAGAGCGGTTGAGGAAGTGTAGATCATGTGTTTACATTGAAGCATTATATGTGACGTATTTTAGATAAAGGTAGGGAAGTTTTTATTTGCATTTATTGGATTTAGAAAAGGACATATGATAGAGGGTTAGGGGAGCAATGTGGCAGGATGTTGCAAGTATATGGAATAGGTGGTAAGTTACTATATGCTGTAAAGAGTTTTTATGGGATAGTGAGGCTCAGGTTAGGGTATGTAGGTGAAGAGAGGGAGACTACTTCCAGGGTTTAAGTAAGCCTTAGACAGGGGATGTGTAATGTTACCATGGTTGTTTAATATATTTATAGATGGGGTTTGTAAAAGAAGTTAAATGCATAGGGTGTTCGGGAGGAGGAGGTGTGGATGTAAATTTTGGGAATCAAATTCAAAATGGAAATTGATACAATTGCTTTTTGCTGATGTTACTGATGCTTTTGGGAAGATTCTAAAAGAAAAAATTGCAAAGGTTAGTGGACGAGTTTGGGAGTGTGTGTAAAGTGAAAGTTAAAAAGTGAACATAGAAAAGAGTAAGGTGATCGTGAGGGTATCAAAATGATTTAGATAAAGAAAAATTTGATATCAAATTGGGGAGGGGAGCTATAGAAGAAGGGAATGGTTTTCAGATACTTGGAGTTGACAGTGTTGGGGAGGCAATGGATTTATGAAGGATGAGGTTAATCATAGAATAGATGAGGGAAAAAAGGTTATTAAGTGGTGCCTTGAAGGTATATGTGGCAGACAAAAAACTATTATCTATGGGGCAAGAAGAAGGGAATGTATGAAAATATAGTATTACCAACACTCTTATATGGGTGTGAAGCTTGGGTAGTGAATGCAGCATCGAGGGAAAGCGAGTGATGGAGGCAGTGGAGATGTTCCTGTTAAGGGAGAATGTGTGGTGTAATACAGTGGACCCCGCATAACGGATCACCTCCGAAATGCGACCAATTATGTAAGTGTATTTATGTAAGTGCGTTGAGTTTGTACAGTATGTTTGGGGGTCTGAAATGGACTAATCTACTTCACAATATTCCTTATGGGAAAACAAAATTCGGGTCAGTAGTTACTGGCACCTGAACATACTTCTGGAGTGAAAAGAAATGTCGATAACGGGGGGTCCACTGTATTATGCAGAAATTGGAGTGTGGAATTAGGAGAATGTGTGGAGTTAATAAAAGTATTAGTCAGAGGGGTTGAAGAGGGGTTGTTGAGGTGGGTTTGGTCATTTAGAGTGAGAATGAGACTTCAAAGTAGAATGACATGCGAGGCATTTAATTCTGTCGGGAAGGAGAAGGCGGGGTAGGGAGGTAGTCCTCGAAAGGTGGAAGGAGGGTAAGGGAGGGTTTGTGGCGAGGGGCTTGGAACTTCAGCAGGCGGTGCGTGAGCGTGTCGATAGGTACAGGAGTGAATGGAAGACGAATGGTATTTGGGACCTGTCGATCTGTTGGAGTGTGAGCAGGGTAATATTTATGAAGGGATTATGGGAAACGTGTTATTTTTATATAGCCGGACTTGAGTCCTGGGAAACAGCAAGTACAATGCCTGCACTCTAAAGGAGGGGTTCGGGATACTGACAGTTTGGAGGGATATGTTGTGTATCTTTATACGTATATGCTTCCTAAGTGTTGTGTTAACTGAGCACCACCTGCAAAAACAGTGATTATGTGTGAGTCGAGGTGAAATGAATGAAAAGTGTGAATTGATCGATTGAAAGATTTCTTTTGGGGGATTTTCTTTCTTTTCGGGTCACCCTGCCTCAGTGGGAGACGGCCGATTTGTTAAAAAAAAGAAACGTAATTATTATTAATTAAGATGACATTCATAAATATGTACCTCCCTTTCTCTTCCATTTTATTTTTTCTGTCTTATTCCCTTCCTCTCTCCTAGTTGAGGGGTCCTCCCAGCTGGAACTTAAGCCACTGCCAGTAATTGCAGCTAATGTCTCTTTCCATTCAATTGCTTATCAAAGACAGATATAATTACAATTTATAATATAGCAATAGTTGCTAATAAAACCATAGGACAGTAAAAATAAAAGAGGCAATAAGAAAATATTGCATAATTTTTAACTCACGTCTGCTTGCCTTAATGTGTCTGAACACCTGTCTCTGTGACTGACTTTAGTCATGGCATAAATATAAAATCTTGCAATTTCACTCTCTACATACTATAGTTTTTACGAGTTTAGCCATTTTTATTATTAAGGCTGATAATGTCATATAGTGTATGAAAGGAAGGAGCGTGACTGAAAGGCTGTGACACCATTATCCTCAATTGCATGTACAATCCCTACACTGCCTCCACATTTATTATTTTTCACTTTTTACTTTATGAGATGCCTTTATCCATGATATATGGCAATTTGATGTAGATGTGGTGGCTTCCTCAATGTCTGGCACAATATGGTTAAGAAATATTGATTTTTTTGTACTATATGTATAACAAGTGAGTGTAAAACGGAAGCCTGTAATTTTTTACACGATGGTAGGATTCCTGGTGTCTTTTTTTTTCTGTCTCATACACATGCAAGATTTCAGGTACATCTTGCTACTTCTACTTACACTTAGGTCACACTACACATACTTGTACAAGCATATATATACACACCCCTCAGGGTTTTCTTCTATTTTCTTTCTAGTTCTTGTTCTTGTTTATTTCCTCTTATCTCCATGGGGAAGTGGAACAGAATTCTTCCTCCGTAAGCCATGGGTGTTGTAAGAGGCAACTAAAATGCCAGGAGCAAGGGGCTAGGGCATACTGAAGTGGCAAGGCCTATAGGTGGCAGCACCAGCATGGCGCGAAATATGAACTAAGCTGGCAGACAGCATGGGCTGTCTGTGCAGACAGTACAGGCTGTCTACACTTCTGTATATATTACTAAATGTAAAAGGAGAAACTTTTGTTTTTTCTTTTGGGCCACCCCACCTCGGTGGGATACGGCCGGTGTGTTGAAAGAAAGAAAGAAAGAAAGATGTATAACAAATTTTAGGGAAAGATATTCACATATTTATTTTATTTCTTCTCATTTGTTCAGGATAAAAAAAAAAATACTGTACTGAATAGGCTCTACTAAGAAGAGGGAGAAGCCTGATGTGGGCAGAGAAAAGGAATAAAACAGTGAAAAAACAAGTAGGTTGGATTAAGATTGAAATGCAAAAAAAAAGGTTAGAATATGGTTTTTAGAATGGTTACTAAGGACTGAGAGAAGGAAGCAACTGATAACATTCTGTAACCACCACAAGGAATGAGGCATCAAGAGCTTTTTTGTTTTTTACCTTTTTTTTTTTTTTTTTTGAGGATCATCACCTCCATGGCAAGGTCCCAGACCAAATTTACTGGTGATAGCCTCATCAATCAGGCTGTTGATGATAGCACCACATGGTCCAACTAAAGCTGATTATGAAATGACTTGAGGAAATTATCAAGGTCCTACAAGAAAATAGCTAAAAGTCTGTTGAGTAATACAAGTTTTGGACCTTTTACATTTATTTTTTTTAACTCTTCCTGTTTTACTAGAGGTACTTTGAACCATCTGTCGAGTTATATTTTATCTCAGAGAGTAATTTTAGTGTACAGATTGAAGGTAAGAAACATACATTATAATCTACAGTGACTGATACTCTATCAATAAAAATGTAAAGGCTAAGACATTTACAAGATAAGACTAACCTGTAAAAGATATGCAGGTGTTGCTCTGGTGTGAGCAAGCTGAGCTGCATGATTGAGGCGACCTAAGGAACGAAGATAGCTCAGTGAGAGTTCACTGCTTTTAACCATTGATCGTCTCATCAACTGGGCCTGAAATGTGAATTCTAAGTATTAATGCATTACATATGATATACTTTCTGCTATTCTACACAGTTTTAGTAAGGAACACCCATTAAATCTGGGAAAAGTTACTGAATTACAAGTCTTAAGTGGCATATGGTTTAAATAATAACAATATACACTGGATGTCTATCGGTCGCTTTGCAATCCAGCCCTCTCTAAGTCAATGCACATGAAAGGAACAGTGCAGGGTGTAGCATAAGTCTCTGATGTAGTTAAATATTAGCACTGAAGATATGAAGTAAATCAGAAGTATTCACGAGTCATCACATGGACACTAATACCTAATTTTTTCAATAAAAATAGTAAATTAAGACATACACAGCCCAAAACAACTTGAATCTTCCACTAAGAAACCAGCTTTTAACTCCTTGATTGTCACGGTCGTATATATACGTCATAGGAGATACCGTGTTTGACGTATTTATACATAAATTCTAGTGGCTTCAAATGAAGCAGGAAAAAGCTGGTAGGCCCACATGTGAGAGAATGGGTCTCCATGGTCAGTGTGTACCATATAAAAAAAATTGGGGAGCCAGTGGTGCATTGTGGGAATGCCATTTCAGTCGTCCTTTTTCAGCATGTACTCGGTAAGAAAAAATTGTGACTCCCAGCAACATTGGGATCTTCTCTTCCCAAGTGATGCTCTAACACAGATGGAAGTGTAGTGAAGATCAATTCATGATTCGAGAGTTTGACCCAAAAGCAATGGAAGAGGGAGGGAGGGCCCAGGAGGGAGGCGAGAGAGAGAGGGAGGGAGGAGGGAGGAGGGAGGGAGGATGGGAGGGAGGGATTGGAGGGAGTGAGGGAGGGAGGGAGGAGGGAGGGAGGAGGGAGGGAGGGAGGAGGGAGGGAGGGAGGGAGGGAGGGAGGGAGGGAGGGAGGGAGAGGGAGGGAGGGAGGGAGGGAGGGAGGGAGGGAAGGGAGAGAGGGAGGGAGGGAGAGGAGGGAGAGGGAGGGAAGGGAGGAGAGGGAGGGAGGGAGGGAGGGAAGGAGAGGGAGGAAGGAAGGGAGGAGAGGGAGAAGGGAGGGAGAGGGGAGGGGAGGAGGGAAGGGAGAGGGAAGGGGAGGGAGGAGAGAAGAAGAAGAAGAAGAAGAAGAAGAAGAAGAGAAGAAGAAGAAGAAGAAGAAGAAGAAGAAGAAGAAGAAGAAGAAGAAGAAGAAGAAGAAGAAGAAGAAGAAGAAGAAGAAGAAGAAGAAGAAGAAATAATAATAATAATAATAATAATAATAATATGTAATAATAAGTTCCCTTGAAGCATGGAAAACAGTTCACCCCATGACAGTGACAAGATAAGTGGAGATAACATCTGATAAGAGCTGACGTTTGATGAGCATAAACGAGGGGGGGGGGTGCAGCTGATAAGAAAAGATTAGATGACCACAAACATTTCTGTCTGTCTATTTGTCTGTCTGCCAAGCTCCCTGTCTATCCGTCTAGATCTCTGCCTCAGAGAGAGCCACAAGACTGTGTCATCATCACGTTTACTCACATCTTCAAGCAGGGTATCGTAGGTAATTTACACTATGTATACTTGTATTTATGTGTATCTGTGAGACAGAGATAGACAGACAGAGGGAAAGAGAGAGACAGATTGAAAGAGATAGAATGAGGGAGAAAGATAATTAGATAGAATGGAGGGGAAGCAATATCCCACCCCATTGTTTTGACAGGCGGTAGGGGGAGTGAGTAATGAAATAATATGTCATTTTGACAGCTGCCGACTCCTGACTCAAAATAATTATAAGCCACACACTCGCACACAAGACAAGCTTGCTGAATGAAGATAATAGCAGTTTTATGAAAGTATCTAGTGACTATATATGTGTATATATATTAAAGAAACCAGAAGGAAGAATGGAAGGCAGGAATGAAGGAAGGGCGAGATCAAAGGAAGGAAAAAAGGAAAGACGAAGGAAGGTAGGAAAGGAAGGTAGGAAAGGAAGGTAGGAAGGAATGATGACACACAACCATTTACCTAGGATAACTACATAACACAACTGCCTGCTAATACTTTGAAGAAAACTGCTCAGACGAGGTGTTTTGTCTTTGCACATAAAAAAAAACTTCCACAAAAATGCACACACACACTGGTTTTATGTGTGAGGAGTGTAAAACACCATTGTGTATGACACCATGTTTCAAAGAGTTACACAAGCTGCAGAACTTCTAGGAATATGTCCAGTGACTGTATATTGGTATATATATATATTATAGAACAATAGTAATAAAAATTTTTTGTACTGTTTGTTTTTGTAAACAAGTTTTGTAAACAATATATTGATAATTATGTTTGTGTGCTTATTGTGTTGTATACAATGAGTGTATATATGTACATTGCACCTTACTTTGGTCTCACAGGCCACATAAGTTATGTGAAAAAATAAAATAGTGAAAAAAACAACAAACCTTCAAATACAAGTACATAAACCAAAGTTTACCGGGTGAGCGGCAGTCACCGCTGTTGCCATATGCAGCTCATTTTCTGCCAACTTCATGCCTCTATATCTGGGTAAGTACTGATGGGAAATTTTTTTTGGGGGGCTAAAACAATCAGAAAAATAATCTTAACATTTTCATAAGAAAAAGTAATTTTTTTTTTCGAATATTTTGCGACACCAGGAGACACTTCAGGATTGGGCCTTTCGACAGTCAAAGGGTTAAGGCAGGCTGAAGAACTATTCTTTCCTTATTTCAAAAAGATCAACATCTTAAAATACACTAGCATATTAATCCTTTTGTTGTCTGTCAGGTAGAACTATGTTGTTGAGACCAGAGTCCCTTACGTAGTTCTACAGTCATGAGCTCAACTCACTCAGATAAGCTGTGAGCAGTAAATTTTGGCCTAGTCTCTGTACTGAGTGTATACAGCATAAAAAAAATCCTGACTCACATGGTGCACGATGGAAAGAACAAAACTGACCATGTGTTTGGTTTAAAACAACAAATTTGAGGTGTTTCCTAGGTTGGTTTTTATAGTTTTATTGGCTGGTTCATGGTAACATTTGACAGAATGGAAGAAATACTACTGAAATACAGATAATTTTAATTGGTATCAGAAATGGAAGTACAGTTGTACCTCAAGTTTTGAACAGCTCCCAGCTCGAACAATTATGTAAGTGTATTTTTGGGGGTCTGAAACGGACTAATCTAATTTACATTATTCCTTATGGGAACAAATTCGTTAGGTATCGGCACTCGAACAGCCTTCTGGAACGAATTAAGTTCGCAACTCGAGGTACCACTGTAGTTTGAAATCAGCCACAAAATAGCAGAAAGATTTGACTTTTGCTGATATTCCTGAAGAAGGGTAAAGCGCCCCTATATCCCACTCTTGTTTTTTTTTTTCGTTTTTTTAGTAGGTTTGATTCAATTATTCAGATTCTGTAACAGTGACCAATCATTCCTGGTTATGTTTTACTATCCAAGAAATAGAGAAAATCTTTGATTTTTTTATTATATTTTTATTAACACACTGGCCGATTCCCACCAAGGCAGGGTGGCCCGAAAAAGAAAAACTTTCACCATCATTCACTCCATCACTGTCTTGCCAGAAGGGTGCTTTACACTACAGTTTTTAAACTGCAACATTAACATCCCTCCTTCAGAGTGCAGGCACTGTACTTTCCATCTCCAGGACTCAAGTCCGGCCTGCCGGTTTCCCTGAATCCCTTCATAAATGTTACTTTGCTCACACTCCAACAGCACGTCAAGTATAAAGAACCATTTGTCTCCATTCACTCCTATCAAACACGCTCACGCATGACTGCTGGAAGTCCAAGCCCCTCGCACACAAAACCTCCTTTACCCCTCCCTCCAGCCTTTCTTAGGCCGACCCCTTCTTAGGCCGACCCCTACCCCGCCTTCCTTCCACTACAGACTGATACACTCTTGAAGTCATTCTGTTTTGCTCCATTCTCTCTACATGTCCGAACCACCTCAACAACCCTTCCTCAGCCCTCTGGACAACAGTTATGATAATCCCGCACCTCCTCCTAACTTCCAAACTATGAATTCTCTGCATTATATTCACACCACACATTGCCCTCAGACATGACATCTCCACTGCCTCCAGCCTTCTCCTCACTGCAACATTCATCACCCATGCTTCACACCCATATACGAACGTTGGTAAAACTATACTCTCATACATTCCCCTCTTTGCCTCCAAGGACAAAGTTCTTTGTCTCCACAGACTCCTAAGTGCACCGCTCACCCTTTTCCCCTCATCAATTCTATGATTCACCTCATCTTTCATAGACCCATCCGCTGACACGTCCACTCCCAAATACGTATCTGAATACATTCACCTCCTCCATACTCTCTCCCTCCAATCTGATGTCCAATCTTTCATCACCTAATCTTTTTGTTATCCTCATAACCTTACTCTTTCCTGTATTCAATTTTAATTTTCTTCTTTTGCATACCCTACCAAATTCATCCACCAACCTCTGCAACTTCTCTTCAGAATCTCCCAAGAGCAGAGTGTCATCAGCAAATAGCAACTGTGACAACTCCCACTTCATGTGCGATTCTTTATCTTTTAACTCCACGCCTCTTGCCAAGACCCTCGCCTTTACTTCTCTTACAACCCCATCTATAAATATATTAAACAACCATGGTGACATCATCATTTTTTTTTGTGATGATAAATTCAGAAAGTCCTAGGTAGTAGGTTGGTAAACAGCAACTGCCCAGGGAAGTACTACCGTCCTGCCAAGTGAGTGTAAAACGGAAGCCTGTAACTGTTTTATATGATGGTAGGATTTCTGGTTTCTTTTTTTTCTATCTTTTTTTTTCTGTCTCTTACACGTGCAAGATTTCAGGTACGTCTTGCTACTTCTACTTATAGTACTTAGGTCACACTACACAAACATGTACAAGCATATATATACACACACCCCTCTGGGTTTTCTTCTATTTTCTTTCTAGTTCTTGTTCTTGTTTATCTCCTCTTACCTCCATGGGGAA